GTGCTGGGGCCGGGCGGGCCGCCAGGGCGGGATCACGCCGCCCCTGCCCGCCCTGCGGTGCGGGAGCGGGCTGGGGCTTTGCCTGAGAGGCTTACAGGCCCCAACGAAACAGAATTGCTGTTATAAGTAAAACCAAGGTCCTCTGATCCAGATGAAGGACATATTGACAGCTGACATTATTTGGCTTAGAATAAACTTATGCAGCAAACTCCAAACCTGCTACTTCAGGCGCAAGGAGCTTGTCCTTTTAAGGTACAACGTGGAGGTCAAATGCAAAGTTGTTTCCCACTAATTATTTGGACTGTTCACTCTCTTAATAGTAAGGGCAGGTTAAACTCACGGTACCTAAACCACACTATTTAGTAGCTACAGACAGCAGAAAAGTGAACGAGAGACTCTGTGCTGTCAGTGATCAGTGGGATACATGGAATGAAAACACCTTTGTATAATTGCGCTTTGATGGAAGAAACCGGAGCTGCAGCAAAGCGAGACTCGGTTTCTAGGAACTATGGAGTCCTCATGATTCCCAAAAGCTGCCTCCAGCAGAGCAGCACTATGGCTGCCTTACTGGCTGGCAAAGTTTCCAAGATGCTAATGCCACCTTGAAATTGCTGGGATTTAAGAATGGCCAGACTATGCCTGTTCTCCATGTGGTCCAGAGAGCGAATACAAAGCCCCTGTATGGCATGTGCCCTATGGCGACTGCATCCTCCCCATGTTTGGGAGTTTTTCTCAACCTGAAATGGTTGACAATAGAGCAGTATCCAGTGACAAGGTTCTTACTACGATCCACAGTTGCACAGGCTCCCCCCAGAGAGCATGACTGAATTCAGTTGGATTTGATTTGCGTTTGATTACTTAGCCATGGAAGTCAATGAACGCTGCCCCACATGAGGAGCAACAAGCCTATGAATAAACTTTTGAAGGATGAGGATCTCATTTTATGGGGTACTTGAGACTTCATGGTCATAATCTGCTCTGTTTTAGAATGTAAGCCTCCATTGATACAACTGTACATGTTTGAGCTCTCATGTGCATCATACTAGTAGATCAGTCAACCATTAATAGAATAAAACCTAAACAAATCAGTTTAAAAATATTATTCAAAAGAAGCTGAAGAAGGTGACATACATTCTGCAGTATCGCTGAGGCTAGGAAGCCAGCAATGATACACGAGAGCAGGGTCAGCTGAAACTTCTCTAAAGGACAAGATATCTAGAAAAACTCAGATTTGGTTGTCAGTGTTTGAAAAATGAGGTCTTGAAAAAAAAACAATAGGGGCAAATTCTTTATATACCAGGACAAGCAACTGCATGTGTGAATTTGGTCAGCATATGCAAGTTTTTCAAGCAGGACAGATACTTGGATACTTTAGTCACAGTGTGCATTGGCTTCAAAAGAAGCAGAGAAAGTAGGGGGTTTTTAACATTGGAGAAAGTTAAGAATTACTTGAATAATTCTGCAAGTCAGTGAAAAAATGCTTTTGTGATTGAAGGATGTAGCCAGAACAGTTCATAGGACTAGTTTTGTGATGTATGCATAAATATAAGTGTTTATTTCCTGAAACATGAAAGTGATGGGGTTTCAATGTGAAGTTTGCTGAAAAGCTTTCTTTTTCACTGCAGGGGCACCTTTGATTATTGGGTTAGAGGAAGAAGATTAGAATTTTAAGTAACTAATCTATATAGTTACTAACCTATATAAAACAAGAAAAACACAAGTGCTTTTTGTTTAATCTCAATCAATTCATACTGGTAATTCTGAGTTTAAAAGTAAAGCTCTATATGCATATGACTCGAGCTAGGATAAATTTGCAATACTTCATAAAATAAAGTCAAAACAAACCCCAAACCTGCTGAAGAGTCCTCTGCCCCTACATGCTCGTAGGAAAAAGATACACATTTCTACCACCCAATCCATTAAGTGAAAGGAGGAAATGGAGAGATGCATAAATAATATTGTCATATGAGTATCTTTGACTTTACAAGAATCCTAGGAATATACTTAATTTTTTCAATCTATTGTCTTTCCAGAAAACGTCACAAAAATAAAGTTTTTCTTGGGCAGAACCCAACAGAAATATTATTTTCTATTCTTTGTGCTATTGCTTCAGTAATAGCTAAGTAACAGTCTGTCTCTCTACTTTCTGTCAATTTACTTGAAAACAGACAAAATACAAATTAAATTATAATAATCATGTAGTCATATGCCCTGTGTGAAGTACAGCGAGAATTATAGATGGGAGATGTCAAAAAGAGTAGGAAAAATCCTGGCCTTTCCCATCAGTAAAGATTGCTTGAAAAATCTATTTTAGTAATATATTACTTAACTGTGGTCTGTTAATATTTAGAAGAAGGAATGAAACAATAAAAGGCTCTGGGAAGCATAACAAATGATATAGTGAGTGGTCCTTATCTTTCAAAGGATTTTTCTCTTTTGGAGAATACTGACCTCCTCTAAGTGGAAAAGTATCTCTTGCTTCAGCAAGATTTTAATCAGGTCTTAAGAAATTATTGCAGGAAACAGCTACTTAGGTAGAATCTTAGGTGAACAGAAAAGACTGCATGGCAGGTGATTCGGGGGTTTTTTAAATTATTTTTTTAATGCATTATTTATTCTGGTGATCTGGTCAAACTCTAATTAATTATCCATGCCTCTAATTATGGCAACTAGATACTGTATGTTTCTTATTTTGTAGATCTTAAAGCATTGCATAGTATTCTTCCTCAGGCAATTGCTTTGTTCACCCCTGATACAGCTGCATTTAGATGGCAAGTCTATCTACAAAATAGTTGCAGCATAGACATTTGAAAAACAAGAATTTTTCTTTGGTGTAGAAGTTGCTAGGGCATTTTTTTTAACATGTAAAAAGTTGAAAAGTACTTGGAAATACTGATTTGCTCTACTATGCCAGTATCATAGCCAAAAGATAACAAGTGAAAAAGAATTGTCCAGAACTTCTGGCTGTGATGAAGGAGATGACAGGATGTGCTGTCTGAAAGGCTGGCAAGACATACTTTGGGGCAGTTACTTGCAGAACTGGACAAGTTTCTGGAAATTATGAATGTAGGATGTTGATTCAGTATTATCAAATTATTCTGAATAGACTTACTTAGGTGATATTAAGTCTTTGGAATTATGTACATTGCATGTTGTAATTTTAAGTCTCAAATACACACAAACACTTCTTCCATCACAGCACCAGTGCTCAGAAAGGCTTAGATTTAAGGAGTGCATCAGTTGCCTTTGTGAAGAAAAATTAACTGCTAGCTGTAGAGTCTTGAATTCCTGTGAAATGGTAGTTCTCAGTTTCATACAGCAAAGCTAGCTGATAAATTACAGCTTACTACTAACCTTACAGAGTACAAAGAGTCTGAAACAATGCAAGCCAGGTGATCCTCAGTATATTGCAAAGCATCCAGAATCTCAGTGTGTCCTTGGCACAATCTCTCAGGAAAATAGCACATTTGTGAGTTTAAAGCTAAGAATGCCTCAAAGACTTCCAAAATGCTGAGATGCCTCTAGCTTGGCCTTGAGACATCAGAAACTCTTGACGCGGCCTAAAGCAAACTGCCATGACATTAAAATGTGGCTTTTATCATAGAATCGTCTAGGTTGGAAAAGACCTTTAAGATCATCACGTCCAACCTTTAACCTAACCCTGACATCCCACCACTAAACCGTGTCCCTAAGCACCTCATCTATCCTTCTTTTAAATACCCCAGGGATGGGGACTCGACCACCTCCCTGGGCAGCCCATTCCAGAGCCTGACAACCTTTTCTGCGAAGAAATTTTTCCTAATGTCTAGCCTAAACCTGCCCTGGTGCAGCTTCAGACCATTTCCCTTCGTCCTATCATCTGTTACCAGGGAGAAGAGGCCGACCCCCACCTCACTACAGCCTCCTGTCAGGTGGTTGTAGAGGGCGATCAGGTCTCCCCTCAGTCTCCTCTTCTCCAGACTAAATAACCCCAGTTCCTTCAGCCGCTCCTTGTAAGACTTGTGCTCCAGACCCCTCACCAGCCTTGTGGCCCTCCTCTGGACGTGTTCCAGCAAGGCAACATCTTTCTTGTAGTGAGGGGCCCAAACCTGAACACAGTATTCAAGGTGCAGCCTCACCAGCACAGAGTACAGGGGCATGATCACTTCCCTACTCCTGCTGGCCACACTATTCCTGATACAAGTCAGGATGCCATTGGCCTTCTTGGCCACCTGGGCACACTGCTGGCTCATATTCAGCTGGTTGTCAACTAGTACCCCCAGGTCTTTTTCTGCCAGGCAAATATATGAATATATCCTTTCATCTAATTCTAACTCTGGTGCTAGAAACCACTGATATGATCACAATTTCTCCCCCACCTCCAGCCTCTCCAGATTCTAGTACTCTGACACATTAATTTTTAATATAATTAATTTGTAATATCCTCATTTTATATCTTTTTTTCATTTTTTTTTTAAAACAGGCAAGCCTAGAACTATTTGTGAGCAACACAGCAATCTGACACAGATAGTCCGAAGTTCAGTAATGCCTTGTCAGAGCAGTCTGTGAAGGGTTCTGTGGATATCTAAGCAGTTTTTCATGGCACTGAGTTTCTCCATGACTTCCCCATTTTCTGTCTACATTAGCCCTTACCTTTGTGTCACATGGTCATCCAGTATTTTTTTATAATTACCTTTTCATTCTTGATGAGCCAAATCATATTATTTTTCTTTTGTAAGTCACACTGAAGTCAGTGGCACTAGTTGCATTAAAAAGGCTATTATGATTTTGACCTTTCAAAGATGAACTTCTAAATTGTTATTGGTCAGTTGGACATGATGTTGTCCACAGTATTGGACATATTGAAATATTTCTAAGCATCTTGAAACAGATCAGTGAACCTAAGTATAAGACCTGTATGGCATGTGAAAAGTAAGAAGGGCAAATGACTTAATCATCAGAGAAAGAGAAAATAAGAAATCAAACTCAGGAGATTTTAGGATTCCTTAAGCCTCAGGTGCAATATGACATTTATTTCCTTGCTGGAGTTAGTTCTGACAGCTGAGAGCTCAATTCTTTTATCTCCTGGATCCTGCTGTATCAGTTCTGTCCAAGGTTTTGTTTCAGTTTTCTTGTTTGTTTGTTATAATTTCTAGATGTATAGGCATATCCTAATTTCTTTCTTTGTTTTGTAAGAAGCTCTGAAAAATTCAGAAGTCTCTTTTAAGAACTTTATATAGTTGACTGTTACATTTGGCCATGCATTCCTCTTTTTAACAGGCATAAGCATTTACACCAAATTTGTGTGCATTTGTTTTTTTTTAATACCTCTGAATAATTGCATACAAAATTACATAATTTTCCTTGAGCTGTTATTACTACAGAATAATTCTTTCCTTGGTCTCAGTCTATGTTCAGCTTTGCATGCTGGTGTGCTTATGACATAGGTGTTACTGATACTTTCTCAAAATCATTATTTCAGTGCTATTCACTTTTTTCAGGGCTTCTTATCAGATTGCAGACTTCAGCTCCCACAATACGAACTCTATCATCATTGAATTCCTTTTCTCAAAACATTCCAAGCTGTTTGTGGAAACTGGGCCGACTTAATCATGTAGCAATCGCAGTACCTGATCTGGAGAAAGCTCAGTCCTTGTATAAAGATGTGTTAGGAGCACAGGTGAGCGAGACTGTTGCTCTTCCTGAACATGGTGTCTACACTGTTTTTGTGGAGCTGGGAAATACGAAGCTGGAACTTCTACATCCTTTAGGAGAGAAAAGTCCCATTGCAAGCTTTCTCCAAAAAAACAAGACTGGAGGAATGCATCATATCTGCATTGAGGTACTTTAACACAATGTATCATATAATAAGATAGAGGTATTAAAGTATGCATTTTTTTTCATAGGTTTGACCTGTGTCAAGAATATAAGGCTACCATATTCATGAGAATTTATATTGCATACAAAGAAGTCTTAAAAGTGCCTTTTTTCTGGATTGGAAATCACAGTTCAATTTCACAAGCTATGTGATGATTTTTTCCTCTTTTATGCTATAAAGATTAAATTGGGAAGGGGAGTGTTAAGTATCCAATGTGGAAGGTGGACAAGCCCAAGGGCTTGTGAAGAGTGTTTGACATGTGTCAACTTCCTGACAATGAAAGGACATACACTGGAAAAAGATGGAGTTGTAAGTTTAAGCTAAGGCATAGTTTAGATTTTCTGAAGTTTTTTCCTGTTTGATATTGAGTTGATAATTGTATACAGAAGTCAAAAAAGATTGTCAGTTATACTTACCAGATAGCAATAAAGTCTCTGGGATTTATTCTGTCCTGTTCTTCCTTGTCCATCAAAGAGAGGTTGGTCTGGAAATACACAAGATGTAAAGGTGCTGAGTAAAGTGGTTATTAAAATTATTTAGTATACTCATGTTTTAGTGTACATGTTTGCTGCAAAATTTTATGCTGCTGCCTATGATACATGCTTTTAATATTTTATAGATCTGAGTCTTGCAAACTTTATTATTTCATGCAAAATGTAATAATAAAAAGTAATGGCATTACTGATGTGACTAAAAATTGTATTCAGAATACAACATAAAGACCAGTGTTTGCAGTTGCATGCTTTCATTGAGAATTGAGAAATTTTGCATGCACACAGGCATTGCAATTTTTCTTACATTGTTTGCCTCTTTGCGATGTTCAAGAATAAGAAAATGAATTCTGCTTAAATTGACCCTAAATTGTATTCCTAGGCAGTTCTGCTATAGAAATGTGAAAGACCTCAGATGAACTTAGGAAAATAGGGGATGTAGAAGAAAGAAGTGATTTGCAGTAAGACTGAAAAAAACCTCCAGCCCTCTGTAAGACCAGTGGTACTTACTTATAGGTACAAGAGAAAGAAGTTGTAGGCATTTCTCAGCAAAAAGAGCTCAAAGCTCCCCAGGGTTTCAAGTATATGTAATCCCTTTGAAGATGTTTCAAGAAATACTTGTTACCAGGTGAAATTGTTCTATGTAGACCTCCGTTTTACATGAGAGATGATCATCTTGTTGCAGATAAACCAAAGATGGCTGTCAAGGGAAGTCATACTGTTAATTATGAAAATTGAGAAGAATGGGACATATAAGATATACAATGTTGGACAACATAGAAGTGCTGTGTTAAAAAAGAAAATTTAGTAGGTCAAGCAAGCCAGGAGTCATAATCTAGCAGTTAATTTCCATTAATCGGGTGAGCTAGTGCTACTTGCAGCCAGATTTTCCTAAATGAAGTCTTGTAACCCACTAATAGATTCTCTACAGGAAAAAAAAATTAGGAAAAAGATTGTCCTAAGTCCCTCATGTTTGTCTCCACATAAAACCAAATGGAAGATTATGGACTAATTTATGTGGAGGAAAAAAGGAATCCATTGTTGACCTGCTGTTTAAGTGGGACTGAAAAGAGATTTGGTCACTACTGTAGTAAATCAAGAAGATATTAACCTCCCTCCTCCAATTTTCCATTCTCCTCAGAATGGAAAATCTTAAAATTTCAAAAATATCATCATCATCATCATGATCAAAAATATGTTGTCTTCTGAAGTTGAGCAAAAATAGTTTTCAGAAAAACTATAAAAGAACTTCAGTGTCAATTGATTGTTCACCTGAAATTTAAAAAATATTTTGCAGAAATGTCTTTCTGTGAACAATTTTATTGCAAAAAGCCAGATTGTAAAAATTCTTTCCATACTGGAGAGGAAGCCTGACAAGTTTATCAAAATGCTTTTCATTTCTTCCATATGTCTTATTATTCAAAGGAAAATTTTAGACAGATGTTTTGATAGGGAATTTGTTCCAGACAAAATAAGCATTTTAAGAAGAAATTAAATTATTCCTGAACAGCTATAAATGAATTTAATACCTGCAATGAAATGCTTGCTGGACATTTGGTAGAATAAGAGAGAAATCCGAGCCTGAACTCTCCTGACATGGACATGTACCCACAGGCTTTCCACTGTTTACTCTCACTGCTTCCTTGGGGATGCAGTAATTCATTCCAGCTGAGCCCAGACACAGTTCCTCTTCTGGCCATCTCTACAGGACAGGAGCAGCAGCTGCAGTGGCTTTTCTGCTTGCAGAAACAACCTGGAGGGGGCTGTGGCACACTTTACGTGTGATGTTTTATTTTAGATAAAACTTGACAGTTGTTTCTTTTTTTTTTTAGATGACTGGTAGTTGTGTGTAGGAGAACTGTAGTGAGTTCAGAATTTTCATGAACAAAACTGCTGCAAATAAGTAGGAATTAACTGATGTCTGTTCCTCTGAATTAAAGCTAGGTATTTCCTTCTTCCCTACAATGGCATCATGCAAGTTTATTCACCAAGTTATGTCCAGACACCTCAGTCTTGAAAAACAGCAATGCTATTATTTTAATTCTAGGTCTTTATTGATTATTGACTTTTGGATTTGCTAAACTCAGTGCTAATTTTATTATTTCAATGAGTGAATGCATTTAAGGTTTGGCAAAATTCAAATTTCATCCAATGACATGACATCAGACTTAAGATCGCATTATACAGTGTAGACATGTTTTTGTTAATTACGTATTTCTGCAGGAAACTGTACTGAAATATTATGTTAAAGGCGCTTACTATAATTAAGTTCAATAGGAAAACCAGGTCATATTCTGGGTATGTTTCTGATAATTCCAAGGTTTTTCTTAGGAAACTTTATGAAGCTTAACTTATTCAAGGGGAGAATATATAAATCTAAAAGGGACTTTCCTTTTACCTTCTGCCCATTGCCCTCCCTTTTAACCAGCATCTAATGAGTCAGTGTTCTGTCATCGATTAGACAGGGAGGCATTCTTCTTTAGTTATTGATAGTTTGAAAGCAATATGATCTTCTTAGCAATAGTAATGCAGAGTTTAGATTATTTATGGAGTCCCCATAAAGTAACAACATAAAAAAAAATCAATAGGCTTTGTGCATGACTGATTTTTGTTTAATAATTTCTTAAATATAGCACAATATTTAAATGACAAAGTGATAAAATCTTCAAATAAAAAATGCAAACTTCTATAGGATTTTTATTTTTAAGACCAGATGTTTTTAAACTGTTTTAGAACTTAATTTACTTTCAGAATTTAGAAATAACATTTTAATAAGGAATTATATTATTTCTCCTAAATGTAGAATCTGCATAATACAGTTTAATAGGTTAATTTGTGTGAACTGTATTTTTCTTTTATAAGGTTGATGACATAAAAGCGGCTATGACAGAACTGAAGAAAAAAAAGATACGAATATTGAGTGAAGAGCCAAAAATAGGTGCACATGGCAAACCTGTGATTTTTCTTCACCCTAAAGATTGCCACGGAGTCCTTGTGGAACTTGAGCAAGCTTGAGCTGTAATATTCATAAATAAAACAATAGATTAGTTGTGAAGTTACTGAGCTGGTGCTGGGAATACTGATGTGGTATTCAGTCTTTACAAGTTCACTGTAGTTCCTGTGGATTAAGTACAGCTTTTGAGTACTGAAATAGTGCTACAGATTTAGGGTAATTTTTTTGTTGTTGTTGATCTGATTTTCAGAATTAGTATGTTGACATTTCTTGAATTCTTTGTGATTCTAAAGACAAATACATGATCCAAGTTACATCTGTAACATAGTAACTTATGTTCTGTTGCCTCATGTTTGCAACATGGTTGTACCTCTGTAACCACAGAAACTGTAGTTTCTAGGTCATCCCACGTTATTTTGTTCTACATTTCAGAGCAGAGACCCACTTTTCAGTGACAACAATATAGCTTAGATATTCCCTTTAGAAATAAAGGAAAAAGGAACGTTGTATTTTCTGTTTTCACTATTCACCGTCTGTGCTTCACACTCATTGACTGGTTCATGCAATAAAAAAATCCTTATGTTATTGTATGGGGTGTCTGCAATCAGTAAATAAGTTTTCCTTGACATAAAAATTACTGCCAAGGAAGTTACCATGTATAAATCATCATTTAGTTGTTTTATGGACTCTGTGGATATGCAGGCAATGCAAGAAAAGTACCTGAAATGTATTTCAGACTGTGATGCACTTGACACACTTTAGTTTTTTCAGGTATTGAATCTTAGTTTTTCAAGCTTTATCCATGGGAAGATATCTGGGAGAGACCTGAACAAATAGCAATTAATCTTTTAATTTACTTTATAAATACTGTTTTCCTATGCAAAAGCACTTACAAAATCAGTGGAAAACACAAGCCGCGTTAAGTCTTGGTTGTGTACACTGTCTTTTACATTGGAGAGCATGCCAGCATACTTATGTTTCTGATAGACTGCCATCACAGTTTGTTGACTTATTCATGGACAGACTTTGCTTTATTGGTGTACCTTAAGCAAGCAGTGTTTGTCCTGATAGGTTCTTTTATAGGTTTGTTTTGACACATCAGCTGTAGAAATTGAAGATCTGTTTCTCTCTGTAGTTTTCTTAAGCCTTAAAAGTCATATGTTTTCCTAGCTAAACCACAATCTGAATTTTATATTTTCCTACATCTCTGCATATACAGTGAATAGTTTCAGCTCAATATAAAGTAAGTTCATTTTAGTCTAGGAGAATTTTTACTTAATGGAAATGGAATTATCTGTGTTCTGTGTAATGTTTGCTACAACAAAATACAAGTATAAAGTTGACCTGAGATTTAAATAGGACTTTAAAGATATTGATGCTTCCTCATGAATTCTACTTCTGAAAAAAACTGTGCAAAGCCATGCATTTTTTTTTAAACAAGGCAGTTTTGTACTCAAAATAAATACTCCTGTTGTATTTCAAGAAAAACACAGTCTTCCACAGGGTTCTTGCATTTCTTCAAATCACTGTTTAGAGGGTAGTTTGTGATCTAAATTCTAAAGTGTTTGAATTTAGAAATACTAAGGCTCATGATGGAAAAGCAAGATGATTTGGTATTCCTGAAATATGATTCTGCCATTCTAGAAGACATTCTATTAACTTTTGTCTTTCTGTTCTTTCAAAGACACGGAGGCATCTTTTCTGCAAAACTAGCATAGGAACACCAAGACTAGAAGCCGCACTGGTTACATGTCAAGGTAATTGAACAGAAGTCTTTTGAACCTAATATCCTTATTTTGGTGCAACAGAAAACGAGGCAGTCCTCCCTAGGTTCATACTCCATTTCTTTGTCCTGTCTGAAGGAGATGGAATTTTGTGTATGACTTCCATCAATACACTCAGAGTAGTAGCTTGATATAGTACTAGGGAATGGAGGTTTTGAGTAAACAATACTTACTCCACTTGCCTCATTGTGCTCCCCACCTTATTAGCAGAAAGAGACTTGTAATGCTTTTAGCTAGTAACCAGCAATTTTCCTGACTGACTGCAGTGGGGTTGCCTAGCACTAAGTCAGCTGATTTATTTTGTTCATCATAACTAAGTCATGCTGTTATCTCACTCACTGTTTATACATTTCATCTGACTTGTTCTAAGGTGGAAGTCAAGATATTAACAAAATAAACAACAAAAAAAAAAAGAGTTTAGGTCTGCAAAATTAGTCAGTACCCAAAACTGGGGCATGCTTATTACAAGCTCTTACCATTTGGTGGGATCAGACCCCCTTACTTGTCTGGGTATGTGCTACAAGATATGAGAATTTCCACCTCTGGAGCTCTAGACTTGGAAGGAAGATCCAAGTGAGCTGGACAGCTGAAGAATCTGAAGACAGCTAAGATGCATTGAGAGAAGTTTCCTGTTCATAAACCTAACTCCTATAGACTTCAGTGGAAACAGAATCAGCCCCTATACTTGTAACAAACTTCTAGTCCTACACCTTAAACAAGAGACCTACAAGAGAAACACCTACTTAAACAAGAGAGCTGTCACAAGTCATTCTTTGTTCTGACTTTCTAATAGTTGGGGGGGCATATATATATAAACCTTACCCTTTGTCACTGTCATGATTACAAAAGGGGAATAACATCAAGAAAAACAGTGGAAATTCAGGGATGGAAACTGGAGCAGCAGCGAACTGTGATTTGTTTCTTCCAGTGGAGGGACACTTATTAATGTACCCCTGTTGCACACCAGTATATAACTTCTGGAAAGAACAACAGTGATTCAAATAACTGGAGTCTGATTAGCTCAGAAGGGAATTAGGCTTTGACAATGGGTATTTGGTTTTCTCTTTTGTTTTTCAAAAGGGACAGTGAAACCTTCTTTTCTGATCATGTCAAGCTTTTCAGAAGATGAAGTGTTAATATTTTGTTAGTAAATTTTGTCGCTCTTGGGTCATTTGTCAAGTGTAAGTTCCTGCTCCAATCTCTCTATGTGCCTTTTTCCCCCCTCTGAGCTCAAGCATGTTCCCATTTTATGCTGCCTAAGGCAGACAAGACACATTTTTCTGGACTCCGTCAACACCACTCAGGCAGCTAAAGGGCCCATAATTAAATGATGCAAAATATCTTTTTTGACTTCCTCTATGCAACCCTCAAGTCTCTTTTAGGTGGGAGGAGGAGAGCAGGCTGTAGAATGAATCCCATTTCGTATGATGAGAGAAACCTTGAAGAAAATTCAAAAAGCTGAGAAGAGAACTACATGCCTTTTAAAAGCTAACCTTACAGTTTTGCAAGTCTGCAAAAACTCTGGTCCTATCATGCTTATACTGCAATTGATTCACCTGAATTAAAAAAAAACCAAACAAACCACTGGGTATTTCATTCTGAATTCAATTGCTTTCATGATTGCTATATTTACCCAGTTTATCACAAGCTTTGGAGGAGTGTATCACGATGCCACAGCTACAGTGCTTAATACAGTTAACACAGCTTGAAAATTTAGAAAGCTGTGAATGAATTACAAGAGGAACTGAAGTTGGTACTTGCTTCTGCAGACAACTTCCTCAGTGGGTAATACTTCTGTGTTCAATGCTGAGACTAGAGTTTACTTTCTTAATGCACATGCACAAGCATTACTGTCTATTGTTAAAGACAGTCCTTGGATTTGGACTTTGTTGCTAAGATAGGTGAATGGAAGTTGGTGTGACCAAGGAAGTCTCATAGAAAGACCAGGAAACATGAAGATGTTTACAATATCTAGTTGAGGTACTTACAGTAGGTGCTCTGAATTGTTTCCTTGGTGCTCCATTTGATTCTCTCCTTACAAGAAATTCTTCCTGTAGTGATCTGACCTGCGTTTGTTGGATTCAGGAACCCTTAATTAAGAGTTGGAGATAATTGTTTCAATAAATACTTGATTCTTTTACCAAAGCAGTTGTCATGTTGGCCAAATTATTAGACTATGAAATAGAAGAAATCCCTAAAATGGTAGCCCTGGTGCTTCTCATAAGGGTACTGGGTGGCACATGACACAGAAATGTAACTGACAGTTTAAACTTGGAATATTGAATCATATAAGATTAATAAGGAAATGAAAACTAACTAACTGACAGTTTAAACTTGGAATATTGAATCATATAAGATTAATATGGAAATGAAAACTAACATCAATATATTCATTAATTGGCCCAATGCTGACATTTTAAAATGGGAGACCTCACCTTCTTAGGAATGCAAAATCTGTCACCTTTGCATTTTAAAAGCAGTTTGAACATTTTATGAAACGTGTATTTATCTTATTGTGAAGGAGGGAGGTTTGCCTCCCAGGATGGTATAATCCTTAAATATCTGTAAAATTATGTCATATATCTAATTTCATGTTCATTTGCACTGTCTTGCATATTTTTAAACAGCATTGTTAACTGCAAAGTTTATAGCATAGATTCACAAGTGAGGAAGGGTTCTCTCAAACATTTTAAAGAGTTGATACATTTTGAAGCACTTCATGACTTTTCTAGGTGTAATCTAAAGTGTAATCTAAAGGGATCTTTTAGCTGTTATGCTTTGTTAACATAAAAATAGCAAATAGGTACTAAAATCTTCTATAAAATAGATCTTTAATGAAGATTTTTACTTATTTTTAGCATTGCATTTTTTCAGTAATAAAGATAGATTTAAACCATGATTTAAAAAAAAATTCAGAAGTAACTAGTAACTGGGCACTCTGAAGGTATGCGATGTGCACAGTTTGCATTAAATAGGGGAAATACTCCACTTCTGCATCTGTGGCTGGCTTGTATGGAAAAGACTATTTCCAGAAATTGAAGAGTAGCAGAGAGGTGCATTATTAGACTGATATTATGCACCTCATTTTTACCTTCCATTTCGGTATGTAATTTTCTATAATAACCATCTGTCTGAGTCACTGTCTCCAAAATGAGGTTGAGGGAGAATGCTTGTTAGGAACTTAAATTTAAGAAGTTAAAAAGTATATCCCACTCCCTTTCGGACCCCTGCAGTCTTTTGAGAGGTCAGTTGTAGTACAATACTTGCAGCTGCAGTAACTTCAAAAAGAAAACACACACCTGCCCTATCAAGCTGGGAATAAT